GAAGGTGGACAACTTTTTACAATATATAAACATCACTTTTACTATTTCCAGGGGTTCCAATCTTCCAGCATCAGTTTTTATATTATTCAGAATCCCAAAGATATTACCAAATCAGTATCACCATCGCAACTATAATCAATTGGTCAATAGTCGCCATTCAGCAGCTGTAAATGTTATCATTTGGCTTTCCTCAAGTCTTATCTCTCTTACTTTTTCTTCCCCTCGACCTTTGTCTATTGCATGAGCTGTTCATCATATCATATTAAGCCTGGCCCACGGAAAATATAATAATGATTCTCTAGTCAAATGAAAGATCAGTAAAGTTCGTAGCTTTACTCAACAGGAGCAATAATATTGAAAGCTACCAGCACTTGAACAAAATTCGTAGGGCACAGCTGCACACAATTCTTCATAAACACAGAGGAAAGGAAGAAGCACACACTTAGAGAGAGGGAGAGAGAGAGATTACATACATGGCAATGAAGTGCTTGAAGCCAGATGGGAAAGATGACCTCCTCTGCCCCAAAACAGAGCACCACCCAAAGGAGCCCATGAAGCTGAAGTTGAGCTCATCTCAAGATCAAAGCAAGGCTGAGCCATGGTTGTTCAAATCAGTGTCACATCGCAAACTATAATCAATAGTCACCAATGATTGCCTAGGAAACTATTTTTTATAACTTAATTTCCATCTTTTTCCCTAGAAATGATGTTCAGAGAGTCCCACCCCCAAATATCCATGGCATGCAATGCATGGATGGATGGTACACTGAAATATTAATTTGTTAATCCATCATGGTTTACCTATGTATCAACATCATCAATCATGTTAGAAGAGGCAGAAAAGGGGGAAAAGCCTCTTAATTTGATACAATTCTATTTTCTTTAAAACAAAACTATGAGTTTTCTTTAAAACAAAACTATGAGTTTTCTTTAAAACAAAACTATGAGTTTTCTTTAAAACAAAACTATGAGTTTTCTTTAAAACAAAACTATGAGTTTTCTTTAAAACAAAACTATGAGTTTTCTTTAAAACAAAACTATGAGTTTTCTTTAAAACAAAACTATGAGTTTTCTTTAAAACAAAACTATGAGTTTTCTTTAAAACAAAACTATGAGTTTTCTTTAAAACAAAACTATGAGTTTTCTTTAAAACAAAACTATGAGTTTTCTTTAAAACAAAACTATGAGTTTTCTTTAAAACAAAACTATGAGTTTTCTTTAAAACAAAACTATGAGTTTTCTTTAAAACAAAACTATGAGTTTTCTTTAAAACAAAACTATGAGTTTTCTTTAAAACAAAACTATGAGTTTTCTTTAAAACAAAACTATGAGTTTTCTTTAAAACAAAACTATGAGTTTTCTTTAAAACAAAACTATGAGTTTTCTTTAAAACAAAACTATGAGTTTTCTTTAAAACAAAACTATGAGTTTTCTTTAAAACAAAATAATAAGTTTAAAAAAATATATATATAAAATATGAGACCACTAATCTATAAATCAAAACCAAATAATATATCGCCAAACCCATTTGTAATGCACATACTTACAATTATAATTTAGCACCTTCTCTTTCTCAGGTTACGACATATTAGAAGGAGCTTCATGAAAATCGGAAAGGCCTCCATCTTCATCGTCGAATATTCCTTGTCATGGTGGCCACCGCCGTACATACCCATTTGATTTTGAAGAGCCTCACTCTCATTAGTCGCTTTCTCTGTTGACTCCCCCTGCCCTTCATTTTCTTTTTCTTTCTTTTAGGAAACACCTCGGCAAAGTCTGCATCTTTGATTTTAGTGGGATTACTCGTTTGTTGCTTTCTGTGATGTGTGAGTTTTTGTTTGCTCTTGTGCCCACTTGGTGAAAACAGCCGATGTCAAAGCCATTGAAATCTCTGGTTAACTAACTGAGGAATGAACATTGTACAAGGACCACATTCCAAAATGATGTTGTGTGAAAATATTGCTAGTTGCATGTTCGTGTGATTGACAATCTATATATATGGATATACTGGGACCAAATTCTCATATCTATATATATTTCCTCAACAAAGAAATTGTTAACACCATGTTGACATCACCTTCTCCCTTAAGCAAATCCCACCAATTTAAGGGATAAACTTTGCTTGTCATACCTCTTATCCTACAAAACAAGGAGTAGCTAGCCATGCCCCCTCTCATTCCTTCTCAATGCCCAAGGCCCCCAAATTATGGGGAGGCCATGTAGAATCCCCAAATCAAGGAGAGCCATGCATTATCTATTACTACTTAGACTACAAAAGGGAGTTCACCACCTCCAAGCAAAGGATCCAACAGCTGCCACCAAGGGCGGAACCAAGAATTTTTCAATTAGTGGGCTAGCTACAGTTATTAGCTAAAAATCTAATAACCATTATTTTTGTACTTACAATTTCTCTAGTCTTTGTATAAAAAAAAAGTATTAAATCATGTAAACCACGCTAGTTCATTGCTCAATTGCCTAATTTTCAATAATAAAAATATATATATTATTTGGATACAAGTGATATTGGGGGAGGGACAATCAAACTTAGACAAGGGTAAATGGTCTTAGCTATTTGAACTACAAAACCCTTGCAATTTTGAATAAGCTTTAACTTAAAACAAATACATATTAATTTGCAATCTAAATTATCAAAATCAAAATATGTTCAACAACAGAATTAAAGTGTACCTATTTTAATGTGTATTTTTATTGTTGTCATGCAACTAAATTCATAAAGAATTGGATTTTTTTTAATACTTTAATAGGTTAATAGATATTGGGCTATATTTGAAATAAGGCAAATATATAGGTTTAATATTTTTTTAACCCAAAAACCTTACTGGGCTACAACCCACTATAGCCCTTGTGGTAGTTCCGCCCATGGCTGCCACTTCTCCAAGAGCTGTCCAAAGCTCTCCCAATAGCTCTCTATTTCTCTTCTACTAGAGCTCTCAAGTCTCTCTCCCCATATCTCTCTCATGTACAATGTAATCTCTATATTCAAATATAAATACAAAGTTAGAAACTATAGTGGATATAGCCCTATTATGAGTGAACCACTCAAACATTTGTGTTATGTGTGTGATTAAGTCTTAATCCGTTGTGTACAAATTCACTCGTTAACAGAAATATACAAAACAAATTGTTTGTACCGTGACTTACCAAGTAAACAAGCCTTCATCTTGTCAAATACTTTCATGGCATCTCCTTCATCTTAGTCACTTTCTTTCATACATTCTTGTTAATGGCTTCCACAGAATCTGATTCTTCTTTTTTTGCCAGATATATCCCACTTATTTGTTCGATTATTGAACTCTCAAAGAAGGCTCAAACCAACCAGAAGCCCAAAGCACCAAACGCCAAGAAGAAGAAGATTGTGTTCATCATCAGCAACCACATCTACCCAAGCCCACCATAGCTTATAAGTCTTATACATGTGATATGAAAAATGTAATTTTCTGTAACGCTGTGATATATTATCTGCTTTCTTTTGCTGGGGTCTGATTTAATTACAAAAATGGTCATAGACATTGTTAATTACAAAAATGGTCATAGACATTGTTAATTACAAAAATGGTCATAGACATTGTTAATTACAAAAATGTCATATCAAAGATGAAATGTACTATTAAATTAATTAATTCCAAGGAACATACAAAGCACGCTTTAGCTAAGGAAGAAATTACTAACACCGATTTAAAAATAACATTGCCATAATCTCTTAATATATAATTTATGGACTAAATTTAAAAGAAGGCAAATATATAGGTTTATTTTTATTTTTAACCCAAAAACCTCACTAGGCTATAGCCCATTGTAGCCCTCGTGGTGGTGTCGCATTATTTTTGTGCAGTGAGAGACTTCCTTTTGCATCTTCCCAATTATCTTCATCTTCTTCCATCATAGGTACCATATGTCCTTTTTTAATGATGCAATCCAATGTCTTTTAAGAAGCGACCGGTCGTTCCAAGCATAAACTTCAGTTTATTGTCTCGGTATAATGCGACCGGTCGTCTTAGAAAAATGACCAATCATTTGATACAGAGGTGCGATTTCCAACAACGTTTCAGTCTTAAGTTGTATCTCTTGATGCCTATACTTTTGAATTAAATATATGAACGTTAGGAGTACTTCATAAACATGAATATCATGATCAACATCATCGCGGTATAATGGTCCTATGAGAGGTTATGGAGGTGGTCGGGGCTGGTGATGCAAGGAGCAGTGTTATGACCCCTCAACTACCATTGACCATAGACTGTAGACATCAGCTCAAAGGTGGACTAACCAAAAATTAAAGGAGGAGGGAGTGGAGTGGTGGCGGATTGACAGCAGAGGTCTGGCGAAGCGCCGGTGATGGGTAGAGGGGAAAGGAAAGGAATAAGGAGAAAGGGAATTTGGGGACGCCAACAGATAACGTGAAAATTGAAAAGTCTCTAGGGTTAAGTTTTTTTAATTTTTTTAATTAATGAAAATTATAAAAAACTGATATCTTTTAATATATATATATATAATTTTAATGAGTTGGATGTCCACCTCAACTGCCACGTGAGATGGTATTTAAAATGTGCTATAATTATGTGGTAAGCATAACATTACCCTATTTAGTATGAGTAATGCTACACTTACCACATTTTTGTCTCATATTTCTATACCACATGATGTGGCATGTCCATATCATATGCCACATCAATTAAATCAATGAAGTAGATTTTAATTAAGAAAATTAGAAAAACAAAAACTGGAATAAATCATAAAATAAAATAAAAAGTAAAATAATTTTAATTGATGTAGCTATCCACTTTAGCTGCCATATAAGGTGGTATAAGAATGTGGTATACAAATGTAATAAGAGTAACACTATTCTATAAAAGTGTTTTTTGTCTCAATCTCATGTGTGAACACTTTTGGGATTGAGACCAATGTCAAACTATGTGAAAATTAATTTTGATGGTGTTTGGGCTATCCAACCTCTTCTGGATGAATTTAAGAAGATCTCTGTTTGTTTTAGATCTGTTCTTTGGAGTTGGGTGCCAAGGAAATTGAACCGTGCAGGGCACAAGGCTGCAGCGATTGGAATCAGAGCAGAGCAACTGGAAAGTTGGGCTGTCAGGCCACCTCTGTCTCTTGTGGGAGTGCTACTGTCTGATGGCCTCCCTTGTACTCTAGGGAGGTTTTCATAAAGAATTGTTGCTTTAGTTTTGCTCTTTTGTGACTTTGGCGAATATTCCTTGTCATGGTGGCCACCGCCGTACATA